ATAAATACCTGTCTGGACTGAACCCTATGTGTGTAGGGGAGAACAGGGGTTTCACCTTCACATATAGTTCTGGTACAGCAGCACTGTAAGAGTCTTACAATACAAGAACCAAATATGTTTGTTATCCAGTCTTATCTCAGTGCAAGAAATTTGTGGAATAGCTTAACAGGATTGACAGAGTCTGTTTATGTTTTATTTAATATGAAATCTGGATACAGGTGATAAACCAGTGAGAAGACTTGGTAAAAAAAAACAGCAGTGCTTCAGTGGCCCAGACAGCAAGGTGCTCATGAGATAAGTTCTGTCTTCACAGAAGGATTTCAGACAGGTGTAAAAGCCCCTTAGAGGAGGTCATTATGAGTGGAAACTGATATGTGTGTCAAGGTCAACAGGACCGTCACCATGCCTACTGCCTGATAATACTGAAAGCACTGTTACTGAACTAAACCAGGGAACATGACTGACAGTGCAGAATGATTGAAGCTTTTTTACTTTCGATTTTTGTTCTACTGTCACAATAGGCTTTGGTCACTTTATGTCAGGGCATGCCCAAAATGCTGTGCCACTTTCCTTTGTCTTTGAGGATGTGTTTATGGGGGGGAATTGACTTTTCAAATTTCAACCAAGTCTTGAGATCAGCAAAGAAGGGGTCCAGATATCCTCGTGTGTGTATTACAATGACACACTGAGTCATTAACAAAATTTGATTAGACATGGTGTGTCTGGCTGCTGGTCTTGGTGTTGTCTACAGCAGCAGGAGGCCACTGGAACATCAGGATTACAGAAAATGTGTGATGTGTGACATGACTGTTCCCTTGCAGCACTTAAAAATCTCCTGCCTTAACTGAAGCAGCCAGCAGATGCTAGCTCAGGGCACCTTTAGTCTTCATGAAGTCTCAGGATGAACTCATACACACACACACACACACACACATGCACACACACACACACAGACACACACACACACAGTGCTGTAAATACTAGTAAGGGCAGTTCTACTGAGAAATCTAACATGACACACTAAGAGAGGAACAAAGGAAACAGAAAATGAGAGAAACAGAAAAAGAGAGGAAGGAAGTAAAAGATGTAAAAGTATAGAGCGAGAAAGGTGTGTGTGTGTGTGTGGGGGGGGTGTCACTTTTTCCAGGCCAAATCATGCATCTGTGAACCTTCAAAGGGTTTTTTTTCTCTAGTTGGAATTTTGTACTGTCAGACATGGATGACATCATCATTCCAAACTGCTAATGCATCAGTAGTTGAGAAACAAGAAATGGAAAGGCATTTCCCCGTGATAGCACAGGAGCAGAACTGATACCATTTACTTACATATCTCCATACTGATAACTACCCAAAATCTAGAACCAATGCCATTCTCAAGCAGCATTTAATTAATTAATCATTCCCCATAAACAAATCAACACCATAATATTACAGGGTTTCTAAATGAAAAATTAAAAATGACAGATTTATTCACATAGAAAGGCTCTGCACGATGCCTTTTAACTACACAGTATATTCAACATCTGAAACTACTTGAAACTAATTAATATGAAAAATGTCATTAAACAGAAAAACACCACTTCTCTTTCATAGTTGATTGCATTGACACATTAAAATTTAGTCATTTCGCAGATGCTCTTATCCATAGTGCCTTACAAAGCAAGTGTACATTTTAAAGTGCATCTAATAACATTGCAGGAACAATTAAACATAATGAACACAGCAACCCACATCCCTTATACTGTACTGTGATAACTATTGTTAAATGTAAATACATAAATGCCTGAGAAACAAAAGAAAAAAAAATGTTCTGTAGTTCTAATCAGAAGGTCCCAGGATCAACAGCCAGGCACTGTCTTTGTACTTTTGAGCCATGTACTTAACCTGCACTGCTCCAGTAAGTATCAAGCTGTTTGCATAATGGATAATGTGTAAAAATATAAGCTCTGTAAGACACTTTCAGTAAGGGCATTTGCAAGGCAAATCAGTAAGGAAAAAACTGCTATATAACAACTCAACTTTGGAAACACCCCAACGTGACCAGGTTTTAATATGTTAATTCTGTATACCCAGGTTGTGTTGCTACCAATCTGAAAAAGTGAAAAATAATGTTTGTCCAGCTGAAGGAGGGGAAACTGTGGGGAACCACAGATACAGAGGGGATGGAACTGTATTATGCCAGAAGACAGGAAAGGTGTTAGTGTGTGTTAAAGTGTTCAGTGACCCTTAAATTTATAACAGCACTATCTGTAGATCTGAGGAATGCAGCATCCAGTCAAAGAGGCTGACACTTCAAAACAGTGGGATGTGATCATCCTTCTTTTATTCAGTTTCTCAGCAGACAGTTTTATCCAGAGCACTGGAAATATCTTACATTGAAACACAAATATATTTCATTACTAAGCCCTGTGTACACAGTACAAATAGAGAGAGGGAGAGTGACTAGTTATAGTTAACAGTCTGCTTATAAACAAAGGTCACTCTCAATCAGTATGTGGAATATCTCAGGTCTGATCTCCTAAATTTCGGTACTGAATCAAATTGTTCTCACTAATATTATTAGCAGTAGTTGTGTTGTTATTAGGATTATTATCATTATCTTAACTGATTCATTTTTTGACTGGCTGCTTTCTCTTTCTTCTAGGTTGTTTATTCGTGAGCACGTACGCTGGACATCATGCCAATCTCAACTGAATTGACAGGAGAAAGAGAGATGGGTGATTCTAACAGTTTCCAGTGAAGAGAGAGGGGAAAGATGGGCCATTTATTTTTTCCTCAGAAGAAAAGGATGGCCTTTCTCCAGCTTTGCTCTGACCATCTTTAAACATACTGATTCCATTGAGCGAGCAGCTTGCCAGCAGCAACAGCAGAGACCCATTCTGATGACTGATACCATAAACAGCAAGGAGGTGATCAAACACCGAACACAGAATAACCTCACACAGAACCAGTCTCTGGTAAATAAACAACACACATTCCTAAATGTGTGTCATCGTTCAATTGCTAGTTCTATTTTAAAGCCTTTCTAAAGATGAATTTTCAGAGCAGATAACAGATGCCACTGTGGCTGATGTCTCTTACACACTATGGGGTGGACGACTGAAAATCTCATGATATTAAACTTAATAAACAACAACAACACTAATACTAATACCAACAGTAATAGTAATACTGCTACTAATAATAATAACATATGTAAAGAGTGGTCATTCTCTCCAGTGTCTACGTGCACGGTTAAGGTGTGGCTGCACCTGTGGGCAGGACTAATACACAGGAAAAAGGATGCACTGCCGGTACATCGACACTGCAAATATTTGAAGAGAGACACAGTAATTACGCTTTCCCTGATATATATCATACATATATATCAAAACTGATATATCATTGATGGGGGGGGATATTTTAAATTCACCTTTACTTTTTACTTCAGGTTAGAGTAAACAGTTAATGCAAATAATATAAAGGACTTAGCTTTGTATGAGACTTCATGCAGAGAGAGATACAGTTCTTCAGTCCAGGGCGATAAGAGATCACTCATACCAGATATACAGTGCACCTCTAACCTACTACTAGTGCAGAAGCAAACATAATGAGAGAAAATGTGTGAAATTTAAGCTCTGTAAGATTAAGTATATTTATGTAGTAGCATTAGTAAATATATGCATAAGGGCCTCTGTTACGCAAAAAAAAATTACAGAGAGGCTCCCTGAATCAGAACACTGCATAGCCACAGCATTCAGCATGTTCAACACCCACCAGCCAACCACATCGCTAAGTCTTATTTTCAAGTTTTACTTTACCACAAGTGAGGCATAAATGTCAAGTTCTACTTAAATGTCACAGTCAGTCAATGAGGTTTATTTGGTCTTGCGCACTTTACAACTACTATGTTACAGAGCCATATTTCCATATGGGGAAAAAAAAACAGAAAAGCCCTAAAATTAAACTGAATAGGAAAAACTGAAAAATGATTTCGTGATCCCTTGCAAAAGCTGACTGAGATGAATTCCTGGTCTGCGTCTGTGAGTGTGAGTGTGGGAGTGTGAGCGTAAGCGTGAATGCTTGTGTTAGTGTGAGTATGAGTGCATATGTGTCTGTGTAAGTATGAGTGGGAGTGAGCGGGTATGCATGTGTGTGTGAATGTGTTAACATGCAGCTCACTGTACCCTCACGCACACACACACACACACACACACACACACACCTCCGCTTTGAGTCGTTTTGCTCAGACAGCTGGTGCTGACGCAGCAACTTTCCTTTCCAGTGGTCCCTGGTTTCGATTCTCATGAAATACAAATGAAGGCACCAAAGGCATACATTTGGATTCTTGTTTTTTAGAAAACTTGCAAAATATTATTCCTGTTTAATGGGTCTCTACAGGTCTCTCTGTAACTTACGGTATTCTGTGGGTAAACAATAGATCTTGTACGTTCATAATTTGTTTTAAATCTACAGTATGGTGTGTTGGTTAAGAGGCAAGGCGTGCAGGGTTAGTGCCCAGTTGGAGCACTGCCACTATGCCTTTGAGATTTGGTATTTTGGCAGTAAACATCCAGCTGGAAATGGAGAGCAAATGAAGTATGAGCTCTGTAAGTGGCTCTGGATAAGGATGGCTGTTAAGCAAAAAAAAATAATCATCTTGGAGGACTTTGCATGGTCTTGTTTACATCTGCCTCTGAATCACAACAGGACCAAAGCTGCCCTCTTGTGGTCATGAATTGTATTATTTAAAAAAAAAAAACGCATGACAATCTACAGTTTGGGTTCCTAACACACTACACTACATTATTGCCATTTAGCAGATGCTCTTATCCAGAGCGACTTACACAGGTTACAATTTTTATCCATTTATATAGCTGGATATTTACCGAGGCAATTGTGGGTTAAGTGCCTTACCCAAGGGTACAACAGCAGTGCTCTATCAGGGAATTGAACCAGCAACCTTTTGGTTGCAAGTGCTGTTCCTTACCACTACGTCACACTGCTGCCCTAAAGAGAAAAGGCACCGCTGGGACTCAAACCCAGGATCTCCTGATTACTAGACAGGCACTTTAACCATCTGAGCCATGAGCCAAGGCTGTGTACCTCAGTAACCAATTCTGGCTGGACTAATGTGCAGGTGTGGACAGAAGAAAGAGGAGAGACCTGGCAACCCAGAGGTGACGGGTTGTGATTATACTTTCAGCTCTAAGGTGCTGGGACAGAGCTGCACTGCACAACTAGCCTTAATCCATTATGTTTTTATATGACAGTTCCACTGTTTAACTAGGCCTCATCCACATGCTGTCACTGATATCTAAATCATCTGGAAGACTTGTCGTATTCACTCCTGCCCATTTTATGATCAGAAAGATCTGTAAATCCATGCAGAGGTTTGCATCGCATGGCTCCCTCAAACAAGACTACTCCTTAATTTTGTGGTGCATGGTGGGAAGAACATCTCCAGCCTGCTGATGGCAGCTGAGGGGGTTAAAGTCCACTTCTAATCTAATCTGGGTGGCAGTGTAGCATAGCGGTAAGAAGAAGGACTCATAACCAAAAGGTTGCTGGTTTGATTCCCTGCTGGGGCACTGCTGTTGTGCCCTTGGGCAAGATACTTAACCCAGAATTGCCTCCATAAATATCCAACTGTATATATGGGTAAAAGGTAAAAAATTGTAACCAATGTAAGTTGCTCTGGATAAGAATGCTAAATGCCAATAATGTAATGTAATCTGTGAGGGATGAGGAACAGCTGTTCCAGCATATATAGTTAGTATCAGCAATAATCAGATGGAGTAATATAGATGCACTTTCAAATAAGGCAGCTGCCCTCATGACACAAATTGGGTTTGAAATATGTCTGTGAAGTTACCCTGAAGTAGCACGTCAGCTAAGTACACAATGGAATCAACTTAGGGAAACAAACACATATTTGACCACCAAACATTCTTTCCGCATTCGCACGGCTTGTTGATGTGGTGAAAAAAACAAAAACAAACAGAGCTTTATTGTAGCCAGAGTTCTGGGAAACGTTGAGCTGTCTCGTACAGTTTCTCCCGAAAACCGCACCAGTTCTCTGAGACGTTTCGGAAGCCAACACTCTCCACACCATCACCAGAGGGACCACGTCCTGCAGTCCCGTCCCTGTTCTCCTCCTCCTCCTGCTCCTTTCCCTCCTTCCCTCCATCTGACCTTTGTCTGCACTCCTCTCTCACCTCATCCATCCTTTCCACAGCTGTTAGCATGTTTCGCTTCCCTTTTGGTCGGGAGGCTCGGACTCAAAAAGGCTGTTGGTTCTGTCCAGACCTGCACTCTGTCCTCTAAAGGCAGTTTCACCCCCCTCTGCTATAATCACACAGCCACTGTGTATGAAAAGTGAAAAAAATAAAGAACTTCTACCCTGCAAGATGTCTGACTTTAAACACAAATGCTGGTAGGGATTATACTGGGGGACAGAACAAAAGTTTTCTTATATAATTATAAAAAAGTAAATTATTTTAGATTTTGCATTGTGCCGCACTCACTTCATCACTTTTTTATTACTAACAAATCTGAACCGTGTTGCCTTTTATATTGACAAGTGACATTGTTCAAGATACTGTTACCTGCCACATTATTAGAAAAAAATGTGGGAATATTCAATTTACCAACATTTCTGATTGTCAGGTACTAAGCACATTGGTATAAACATCTGGCTCATAGTTTCCCAGAAGCATACAAACATCCATAAACTTATGCAGGTGCTTGGTAAAAACAGGATATTGCAAAATCAGAAAAGCACACCCACACACTGCCATTTTTCTCCTTAGTGATATATTTGATTTTACCCATGAGCACTGACAACATTTCATCAAGTGATGAAGGGTAAAAACACTGTCTCTGCTCACAGATAAAATCAAATAATAGCAGTGTGCAGGTATTCTTTCCTGATTTAGCAATATTACACAACTGATTTATGGATTAACCCCCAGTATCACTTGCCTCTGCTGCTACAGGTATAGAGGATCCAGGCTCCTCTGCTACACACTGCAGTCTGACTCCACATCTGGGGAAAACACCACGTACTAGGGAGGCCATGGTGAATGAGGTACTAAACAGTTTTCCTTGGAAGAGCTCTTCTTTGGTAAATTTGGTTCCTTCTGCTGCATTGGTATTTCCTGTTATATCTGTCTGGTTAAAGCATTCAGGACATTCCTTTAAAAGTAACAGGTCTAGCAGCCCAAAAATTGCTGATTTAATCCTCTGTGGGGCCACAGCTGTTATAGTCTTGGGCAATTAACCCAGTAAATATCAAGCTATATAAATTGACGATATATAAACGACACAATTCACCTTGGCTATGTAGCTGATGAAACTGAAGGTCTTGATTTACACCTTAATTGGTGCCAACCTGTCCATTTACTTTTTACACCTTTAGATTGACTGCATAGTCATTTTTATCTGTCATTTGGATCTTTCCCTTTGTTGCACTTTGTGATGTTAGTGAACATTTAAAATCAAATTAAATGTTGGACAGAAAACCCCACTCCACTTTTAAATACATATTTTGAATTTGGTTATTTAAAAGTACACCAATCAGCATGAAGGACAGCACTATTACAGGATTATTTCGCTTTAAAGAGGTTACATATCTGCCTAAATTTTAATAAAAGGTACAAATATGTCTTTTGCAGCAATTTATGAGGAAATGTGGTTCAAGATAAAATACTAGCCTAGTGGTGTGCCTGTGTTTGTACAGGGTGATTATTGGTGATATTATTAGTATATTATTGGATGTGGTCTAGCCCTCCCGTTAACAAATAAATAAAGTAAATATCGACATGGGTCAAGATAGGAATATGTAAAACTAGCAGAAGGTGTGGATGTGTATGCCACTCATTGCCACCACTTTGGAAAAGACAGCAAGGGTCACTACCATTTCTAAACCTGGTTTCCAAAGGCTCAACCAAACACAGCCGCAAAGGTACATTCCTGTCCACTTTTAATTACATCTTTATTGATTTTTTTTCCATTTTTAACATATTTACAATTCATTTTGCTCAGTAAAAATACAAATATGGAACACTTCAAAATCCACATTGGTCTGAGTGTACCAGAACAGGAAGCAGATGATGATGTCACAATGTCTGATACAAAAAAGAAAACCTAAAACAAATAGTACAAATGTACAGGATGCAAGGCCAGAAATTTGCCACTATCCCCCCTGGTGGTGTGGAGGGGAAGTGCAGCCCACTGTCTTCATTGCACTTAAGCTGGCAGTAGGAAAGAGCGCACAGGAAGGAAAGGAAAGCAGGGTCAGTCAATGATTGGTCAAACCTCCAGGGAATGGTGCTGCCCTCTCCACCCAACAGGAGCTCGCACAGGGAGGGCTATGTGGTTCGGCACATGAGAGACAGTGTGCAAGGCTGCACTTACTGGCAAGCTGAAGGAAAGCTGTCATTTCTTATTGAAAATGACGATTTTACACGCATTTAAAATACAGCATAAACAAAAAGCCTTTGTGACTGAAGAACTTGATTTATGATGTGCTGAACGAGTGCAGATGATCTCTGGGAGTTTGATACTCGATGCATAACCGCATGTCTCTGACGGCACCATGTGCAATGCTGGAACAAAAAGTCCTATTTGGTTATCTACCAGCCATCTTAAATATACTCTCTTCACCAGGACAGTTGGAAAGAGAAGAGTTCGCTGCATCATTAAGGACAGCTTCTCAAATAGCTGCTTTGCATCCATACACAAGAAATTGTTGGGGTGTTACCTAGCAACTGTAGCCAGGCACTAATGCCGACAGAATACTGGTATTACCGTTTTCTTTCTGCACATTACACAATCTTCTCCTATTGGTTTAGGAGCCACATGTGATACTTCCAGGCCAAGCACAGATCACTGTGACCGAATTAAAAAGCAACACACCTGTTTAGCTCATATTAACAGATTCAGCAAGTGGTAATACACAATTACACAGCTATTTACTATTATATATTATTTATTCTTTATTTCTGTCCTCATTTACAGGGAATCTTTACAATTTCCACACTTACCAAATGGAACTTTAAAAGATGACCTTTTCTTTTTTTTACAGACACTGTTCAGAGTTTGGAGTCCACTTCCACAAAGCACGGCCTTGGAATACATTTCGGGTCTGTCCTCTACACATCTGGCCCCAATGGAGGAGGAAACCAAGAAAAAAAAAAAAAACACACAGGATGCATTGCCTTTTATTGGTTCTTGGCTATTCAGTTTTGGACAGTGGCGAAGTGCTTGCACTGTCCCAGTTTGTATTGCATAAAAAGTGCACAAATAAAGGATCACGGTGTTCTTCAGATTTACTGTTTGAAGGCTGCCATGTGAAGCTTGATCACTGTTATAACTTAGGTCAGCCATGTAATTGCTGTTCTCTGGAAAATGACTGCATTTACGTAGTGCCTTTAAGGCATTGGAACTGCAGTGGTACTGGTGGTGGTGGTGTCAGGTGGGGGGGTTCAACAATTAAAATCACCCTAACCCACCATGTACCACTTAGAATAATGCTGTACAAAACACACAGACTGCCAGTTAATAACACAGGAACCCTGTTAATATCCCACTGCCTGTGCAGCTTACATTGGGCATAAGAGCCAATTTACAATTTTACACAGCTCAAATGAACACAGCAGAAATGAGCAAAGAGTTTTAATGAGCCAGTCTGGTTCCAGCATGACAGCGGGAAAGGGGTTTAATGAGCCAGTCTGGTTCCAGCTCTTCAATGGGAAAGGCATCTGTACATGGTGTCTGTTCTGGCCTAAACGCATTCTCATTAGAGAGTTGGGTGCAATAGGTGCAAAGGTGCAAACCCTGAATCTCTGGGCCACTCAAAGTCAAATATACCAACAAATACGTACTTTGGAAAACAAGTAAACACAAGTCGAGTGTCAGTCTGTCCGGAGATCCAGAATCACTCAAAAACCACAAATAGGAATGGACATGCTTGTTTACCTATGATAAAAGGCTAGGGGATGGGTCTACGTATAAAGACCCAAGACTCACAGCATCTCATCCCAAGCCTCAGCCAATCACTGCAGTTAAGGAGAATAGACAAACATTTCTCT